TTATGATACAAAATTGGGGCAAAACTTCGATCAACGAGATGGAATGAATTGGTAAGACTTGTGTTACCTATCTGAAATGCACTAATCTGCGAGCATTTTATTATCCTTCCATAAGTTTCTCTGGCACGTTCTGTTATTACATTAAGTTGATTAACTCCATGCTTGCCTTTTGGAGTCAATATTGCTTTTCAAAATATCCACCGCATGCACTGTACATAGATGGAGTCAAAACCGAAATATGTTAAATAGGTTTATTGATAATTGCTAATAAATCTGGTGATTGTTTCGGTTGATTTTTGTTAGATGGATATGGGTATTAGCTCTTTGCCTTTCCAAGGATATCCACCACTTTATACATCACTGTGAAATCATATTGCTTTCTCATAGTGTAAACTAACCTCCATCTCTTTGTGTTCCGTTTGCATATGTTGTTTAGGATACTGTTGAGATAGCCTCTGTTATCCATGCTATCTACAGTAGTTAATTTCTACTAGTTAATTTGCATGTTCAATGCAACTATTGGTTCCTTCTTCATGTGGTTGCACTAATTATTTTAATAATTATTTAATGATCATAATGAATATAAAAAATCATAAACCACTCTATTGTAGAGCTTGAGAACACCCAAATAATTAAAGATTTCCAATATGCTGCCACATTTCATGATCTCAACAAAATAGGAGTCCCCGTTTGGCTTGGACTTAAATAAGTTTTTTTTCTTCTTTTTCTTTGACCCTTGTCCTTCGTCTCCCCTGTAACTGCCCCTTTTAAATGTGGGATAAGACATCATTTGTTTTCCACCTTTGTTATATCCCACATTTTGACTTTTTTTATTTTTTATTTTTTATAAAAGGGTTGTTGATCTTACAGTCCTTTATATTATGAGTTCGAAGTAAGGGTTATTGGATAATAGTACCTGCATCATTCATTAACTTTGATTTTGTCTTGCACAATTTTCAATCAAGTTATGAAGAAAAATTATCTTTATGCATATGTTTGTCTGACCTTTACATTTTGAGTAAAGGAAAATATAATCCAATGTGCTCCATGTTATTTATTGTATTTACATAGGCATTTTATTTTGCAGGATCAAGATAGCAATGCTCATATGGTGTATTGGCTATCAAATACTTCTGTGTTGTTGTTTTTGCTTCAAAGGACTTTGAAAGCTACTGGTAGGAAACCACCGACTCCTACTTCATTCTTTGGGAGGATGACTCAAGTAACGAAATTCCTATTTACTCATTTATTTATAATTTTATTATGATTTCCTTTTTATGGGATTGCAGAGAAATGATTGCACTATCATAACAAATGGAGATTTAATTGATAAAATCTACCAAAGTTTGATCTTTCAACTGCTTGTATTTGGATTCTATTTTTCAGGGTAACCAATCATATGGTTATTCGAAGGTTAAGCACTTGCTTTGGAAGGATGACTCAAGTAACGAAATTCCTATTTACTCATTTATTTATAATTTTATTATGATTTCCTTTTTATGGGATTGCAGAGAAATGATTGCACTATCATAACAAATGGAGATTTAATTGATAAAATCTACCAAAGTTTGATCTTTCAACTGCTTCTATTTGGATTCTATTTTTCAGGGTAACCAATCATATGGTTGTTCGAAGGTTAAGCACTTGAACTCGTTCCAAGTTATGAATGATATATTTATTGGTTGGAAATTTTTAGGAAATAAATTGTTTTGTTGAATGGTTTTCAGTCCTTTGAATTCTTGACATTACATTATAGTTTGGACATCTTTTTCTCTTTTATTCACCAGATGTATTTTTCTGTGAGCCTGTTTAGGATTAAAGATAATAGATCCTTTGTCAAAAAATCTGGTGAAGACGTTAGTTAGAATGAAGTAGTAACATTAGTTTCAATTTTCTGCTTTAGCTGGTCATGGTTCACATTCTATGACTTGCCATGTAACTAATAATTGTTGTTAATAAATTAGGCTTTGTGAAACCAATTACTATCAATTTGGGGATTTTATCGTTTATGTCTACTGTTTCTGTTTCAGGATTTTCTTGATTGTTAGGAATTTTAGGTAGCAAGTAAGGAAGCAAGCTTTACATTATAAAGCTAAAAGCCATAGTACATAAAACACCCAGTTTAGAATTACATAGTTTTGTCCTCTTTTTTTTTTGGTAAAAGTTTTAGTTTAAAGATATATTGAGTATGTGGTGTATTGCTGTTGAATCATGAACCTAGGAGGGAGGTCCATTGCTCTGTAACAAATTTTGAAAATCAGGTTTCAATGTTTACGAGTTAAATTTTATGTAGTCTTAGTTTGTTTTAGTTTTTAAATTCAAACGCAGACGAAGGTGCAAATGTGACGGCTGACTAAATTTATTTTCTTTTGTTGTATGGGTATGCAGGGCTGCTGCAATTCCAAGAGCCAAAGGTATCTTCACTGAAATCCTTTTTTTTTTTTTTCGTAAACAATCCATCTCTGCAATTATTTGCTTACATAGTTCAGTTTTTTAATTATGTAGTTTAGGAAAACTTGTCGAAGACATCACTCCACAGTAATGCAGAGAAGTTTGAATTTTAGGCTGAGGTGTCCTGACTTATGGACATCACTATCAACTCACCTTACAGCAATAAAGATATCTTTTTTAGAGAATATATTTGGCATGGTAGTGAATATATTTGTGTACAGAGGGTGTGTTTTGTTCTTATTCTCTATTTTGTATGGAATAATATTATTATTTTAGAATGGAATATATTTAATTTGTACGGAATTTGACATTAAAAGTTATTCTTTTTTAGATGGTTGGAAATGAAATGGATGCAAATTGCGGAATGATTCATAATAGATGTATTGTTTTATATATATATATATATGAATGATATAGGTTGCATGGAATACATATATGTTGTAGCCAAATTAATTAAAAAATAAAATAAAATCATGTTTTTGGCGACTAAACAATTAGTAGCAAAAAATGAAGTAAATATTTTTAGCGACTAAATAGTTAGTAGCTAAAAATAAAAATAAAATGGAAAAAAACTTTTGGCTGCTAAATATTTAGTAGCTAAAAAAAAAATGGAGAAAAACTTTTGGCTACTAAATATTTAGTAGCTAAAATAAAAATAGACTTTAGGCGACTAAGAATTTAGTAGCTAAAAAAAATATAATGAAAAAAATACCCTTTGGTGACTAAAACTTTAGTCACCGTAGATCCTTCAAGTTTTGGCGACCAAAGTTTTAGTAGCGAAAAATAAGATTTTTGGCGACTAAAAATATTAGTCGCCATTTATGGGACTTTTAGCGACTAAATATTTTTTAGTCGCCAATACCTTCCCTGACAACCTTCTCGCGACCAATCCAGCGACCAAAATATTTAGTCGGGCAAAATTTTCAGTGACTAAAAATCATACTTTTGGCGACTAAAAATTTAGTCGCCAAAAGTGAAATTTCTTGTAGTGACTGAGGCATCACTACTAGAGTTGTGTAGTGCTAATATGCTCTTCTAGAATGGTGGTCCTTTGGCTCTATATGGAATAACTTTGCTCCTTCCAAAGTGTAATTTTTTGGGTGGTTGGCATGGCTTGGTTCTGTTTCTGTGCTTATCTGGGCTAAATAATGGATTGAGCGTCTGTGCTGATTTGTTCTGTGCATTGCTGATCTGTTTTGTTCTGCTCTTGGATTACAAAATAGAGGGAGACAGTGTTGACAGAGTCTGGTTTTGATGTTCTACTACACTATTGATCCGATATTGTATTAGGGTTGGAGTTGATTTTGCAGCAGTTTTCTATGCTGAATTGGATAAAGATGCACTTCTTAATCCTTAGTGCTGCTGGAGTGTCTATCTGTCTGTGTTTTTGGGATAATCTGCTGTGTTTAAATGCTGCTGTTGGAGTCTCAATGGTTTGCTGTGTGGGTGATGCAATGATTGGTTTTGCTGTTGTTTTATCATCAGTGCATGTTGTTGATTTTGTAGCAGCATCTATTGTTGCACTGGGTTACTGTCTTTGTTTTGCTTGTTCCCTCTTTTGGTTGGTTTCTCTCCAACCTCCTGGCTTGAGTTAGCAGATGATTGTGCAGTCTCCTTGGTGCCAACCTAGTTGAGATTAGAGAGGTATGTGATAATGCTTTTTGCTTTTGTCTTCCCTCTTTGTTGATGTATACCAAAATGTTTTTTGCTGATCAAAAAAGAAAAAAAAGAAAAAGAAAAAAAAAAAAACTAGCTTAAGCTTATCTTGAAATACTATAATAATTGATGACTTAAACTAAATTAGAAAGTAAACGGTTGACGTTCATGGAGATTTAGTGTATCAGGGAAAAGATTTCGTGGTCTATAGAATAGAACAACTTGTTCATAATAATATACACATAAATCAACAAGTTTCTAACAGTAATGTCACTGCTGGAAATCGGGCTTTTAGTGGCGTTTTAAAAACGCCGCTATATCTATAAAAAACGCTGCTAATTTATATTGTGGCGTTTAGTACCAAACGTCGAAGCTGCGGCCGTCGCTGTAGCTTTGTGACGTTTTAAAAACGTCGTGATATTAGTATAGGAGGCGTTTTAAAAATCGCCGCCAAATGTCCCACTATACACACGCTGATGTCACCAACGATATTTAACGACGTTTTGAAACGCCGTCGTATCTGTTTAAAAATATGACTGTTACTATTGAGGGTTTAGGAGGCGTTTCTAGAAACGCCGTCATATCTTTTTTTTTTTTTTTTGAGATTGTGCTAGTTTTATTTGATTAAATTAAAAAGAAAACCTGTAAGAAAATATTGAATTTGGTTTCTCATTCAATTAATAAAAAAATACCTGTAATAAAACTAACATGCAAAATATTAACTCCCATTCAAATACCTGTAATAAAACTAATAGATAAAATAATAACTCCCATTCAAATAATAAATGAAGCATTAATTCAGTTTCATATGTGCAATAGCAACAACGAATCGATAGAGCGACCATAGCTCATTCGTTGTAATCTACCTTATTACTAACCTATTAACATACAAATAAAATAAAATACATAAAAAAAAGTTCATGATACCAATACAAGATTTTGATACAACTAGCATACAGCAGCCAATGCAATGCTCTTTGTAAATGCAAACATGAATCTGAATACCTCCCTATCATATTCAACTCAGCTTGTGTCCTACCCTTTTCAAACTTTCACAAGTCCCTGTGGAGGAAACCAAGAAGCTACCTGAATAGTTTAGAAGATATAATTTACATGTGTTATTTCCTTGAACATTCAAAGTCGCATGCTTGAAATCAAGCATTTCCCTTATATTTAACTGAATGGAAAGCCCCATTGATGAGCATATATGTGCACTTTTCCAGTATACCCCTTTTGCACCAGATGGCTTGTTTGTTTCTACTGATTTCTGTCATATTAATTAAAGAAATAAAAAGGAAATACAGTTCCGAAATTGAGTACATATAAACATGAGAGAGAGAGAGAGAGAGAGCATACTACTGCAGCAAGCAAGTTCACAAGAAGATCTTCTTCAGAAAAATCTGACTTTCCAAAGGGTAAGTGAACGATCCCAGTTTTATCTGCTCTGTATTCAGCTTTGCCCTTCTTGAATTCCTTTATGGCCTGAAACAAACGCAACCTGAATTCATTTCATTTCAGCAAATTTTAAGGGTGTAGGCCATCAGAGAACTCATATATTGTTGATAGCACAGCGTGATGATGGCCATTATTTATTTATTTTTTATAATGATAAATAAATCGTATTAGTTGGCCTCTAAGGGGCACAAATCTTGCATTCACTGTGTAAAATATGTGTACTATCATTTACACAAAGGCAAAGTGTCTCCAGTATCAACAACAAAGAAAACACACAGACCAGAACAAAAAATAAAACTGATAGTGTTAAAGGGTTCTTCCTTTTACTCACCCAACCAAACAAGACCTCCAAACAAGGTATAGCAAGAACTGAGAGTCTTCTCTTGCCTTCTAGAAGGAATGCCCTTCCTTTGAATTACACACCTATGCCATGCTGAGTAATGCCAATAGCAACAACTGAACTTTTATTGCAGCCCTAAAAAAGGGCAAGGTGGTCCACTGACAAGTCCAATTTGGAGTCATGTTTGCTCTCCTAAGGCTGTCAACTACGAAAACTCCAATGGGTAACTAACCACACACAAAAACCCACCTTTGCAGAGCAGCTTGGCAGTGGCTAAAATAATTTCAATGCTTCTAATTATAAGTTGCAAAAAAAAAAAAAAAAAAAAGAAGCCAAAGGAGCATTTGAATGTCCCAAGTAAATCAAATCATCACTGCATTTTGCTCATCACCTGTTTGTTTCATATGTGCATTTTTTGTCAACACTTGATTGGAACTAGCAGTTTTGCAATTTCAGTAAATGTTGTATAATCATACCATGGATAACCTGCAAGTGATTACAATTAGAAAGACCGCCTATTTAAATCATATTCACTTCGCAGGGGCACCAAAACACCTGATCAGTTCAAAGAAATCACAGAATGTAATATGGCATTTGCTACTATATCACATTAATAGACAATGACATTCAAGTAGACAAAACAGAAACTAAATTCAAACTCTAGAATATCTTAAATGAGAAAAAACCAAATGTTAAGAAGGCAGCTACATAATAAGTCTAGAGATTTAAGCCCCATCTGGCTGGATGAAAGGAATCGCAATCTCATCAGTTCCATCAGTAGGTGATACAAGCATCATGACAGTTCGCCTACACACCTGCAATAGAACCAACAACAAATATTTAACCAAGAATTCTTCAAAGTATTGCAACTTCTCTTCTTATCTTTTGGGATAGGAAAACTATATACAACTTTTGGATGGCACTTCTAAGCATACTTCCTAAGATATTTTATCCAATTTTATATAAAAGAAGCGGTACTCCTTAAATAAAATCCACCTCACATGATGCACCACCAATTTCCATCAAACCTTTTGAATCAAAACATCGGAAAAATTATATAACAGCCAAAACTTCACTAATATAATTTTTAATTTTCTGAAAATTGAAAATTATGAGATGGTATTTTTATTTTTTAGTATTTCTGGCTAAAAAAAAAAAAACAAAACAGAATTCTGGTGTTTCTCTGAAAACTAGTTCTTTTTTAACTCATTTTTTTTTTCCTGAAAATAGTTCCTAAGAACAATGAACTTAACAAATTTGCAATTCTATTTTCTGTTTTACGTGACTCCTAGAACAGAAAACTGTTTTCAAAAACTCCAACAAATACAAAGCCCATAATAACCCTTGTTTCCCATTTAAGTGTTGAGAAAAGAGAATTTCCAGTATCAAAACCTAAAGACTCGTGCATAATTTGATGCTCTCCCAAAGATGCAGCAAAACTTGTTGCCTGTTTAATAAAAAGTTTTTTTTTTTTAAGAAAAAAGAACAAACAATGCAAAGCTTCATTTATGAAACCAAATTTCTTGTTGAACATACCAAGCTACTGAACTTTTATAAAAGGAGCCTACTACATATAAAACTTGTTATCTATGTCCCGGCTAAGGTATTTCATGGTTTCAGTTAGTCTAAATACTCCAGTTCTTTACCCCAATTAAAACTTAATCAAAGCAAAAATGCAAGAATTTTCCAATTTAGATTTTTTAAAAAAAAAATCCCATAAAGAGGATTTTCCACAAAAATTAAAAATCTTTGCAGTACTAAAGATAAGAACTCCATTGCAAATTTTATGTTCAAATTTTAATGACTACAGAGAACATACAATTAAGCCAAGACGCCTAGTCTGATCAATAGTCTTCAGTGGATCATTTGGATCTGCAGCAAAAGCACAAGTCAAAATCATTCTTCCCGCACTCAAATCAGAAGCTAATGCTTTATTCAAAGTTGGTTTGACAAATATTTGTAGACTGAAGGAAAAAACATAGTACTACTCAAACCTAATCCAAGACAAACAACTTCTTAAAATGATTATGACATTTATCTGTAGTTATGAAGACTATCTCTAAGAGTGCACATGTTGCTGAGTGCACATTTTGGCAGTTGGACAGTAGAAAATATCAGTTTGTGTATGCAACTGAAGTGTTCAAGACATCATATAAATCAGTAAGAAATAGTGTTGGCTTGACAAAGTTGCTAGCTGATCTCACACCAGCCTCAGGGTTACTTATAAAGCTCTATTGAATGAATCAACTTTTCCCTCCCGAACAAGGGTCAATGGTTCGGGGAAAAGCCTATCTCAGATCGTTTTGGAAAGTTAGAAGAATCACTAGCAACCAGAAACTCAAATGAACGTAGAAAACGAAAACGAGGTCTTTTGATAAATATAGAACATGACTCAGACACTGACCAGTTCACATGTCTAGAGTTTCTCAAGCAAAAATTACACTAACACACTAGTTAGATATCGATATACACATGGAAAATGAAAGAAAGATTAATAGCCTCACATCACAACTACCATTCTAACCCAAACTTCTTGTGAGCTTCCAAGTTCTTGTATTTCTTCTTAATGCTGCTTGGAAATCAAACAGTGAATACATTAACAAAGATTGTCAATTTTCCATCTCCAAAAATACCCAAATTTAGTCACTAGTCACAACAGTAACAACCAAAACCCTAATTTCAGAACCAACAATGCCTTACAAATCAAATGAACATAAACCACGAACTAGTGATATCAGTACTTTTACCTTATTAGTTCTTATTCTTCTTCTCTTTCTTTGAAAGGTGAACCTATATTTAATAAGAGCAAGTATTGTAATTAATAAGATATGTTATTTGTCAAAAAAGCTTTGATTAAATGATTGCTCACCTCTTGGGATGAAAATGCATGAGATTGTTGTTGATGTGACATTGGCCGAACAGTGGGATGACTACTAAGTGAATCCACAACCTATCATTCAATAAGAGACTTACGTTGTATATTAGCTCTAGGCAATTTAAAGTAATAACTAGTAAAAATAATTAAAATACCTGCTGCCTATGTAATGGGTTTGATGGTGCAACAACTGGATCAACGGGCACGCCTGCAGCTTGCAATTGAGATTTCAAAAATTGAATTCGTGACTGAGAATCTGTGCGTATAGCCTGAATTTGTTTCTCCATTACTTCATTCATCTTTGGCTCAAACTGCATTTGATACCGTTGAAGTTGCTCTTGAACTTGTTCTTGAACTTGAGTTTGGAAGAGACAATTTTGCTCTTGTGACTGCCTATATCCACCTCCAAAAACATCAGTGGGTGACGGTCCCAATCCAAACGTCCGAACACGGGCAGGTCGCTCTGGGCCAATAACTTGTGTGAAGATTTGCTCCTGTAAAGCTGCAGGGTCAGTAGAAGATCCCTCCATGTGCTCTGCTAACTCATTCATTTGAGTCTGCAAGTTTGAATTCAATAATTAGCCCCAATATAAATATAAATCATATTAAAAGTCCAAAGATAAAGTAGTATCACATACCATAACCTCATTAACTGAATCACTATTTGACGTCCCATCTTTCATGTATGCGGCCATCCATAACTGTGATCGACTAGCAGGAACCCCATTGTTCTTTTTTGTCTCCTATAAATGAAAGACAACCAATATCTTAAGATAAATAAGAAAATTAAATAATTAAGCAATTAAATATGTGAACAAGTTAAGTAAATAAAATAAACAACTAAGCAAATAATATCTGTTTTTGTAGAACTGGTATAAATTCATTATGGTGTAAATTGTTGACACCTTTTTAGCACATATAGACAAATATAGTTGACAAAGAATGAAAAGGATGAATGGAGAGAATAATTATACCTCTAGTCAAACTACTGAGAAAGGCTTTCGGCCTGTTCTATGATGTAATGTCTTCTTCTTCCAGATTTTTCTATTTTTCTTGCTTGATTTCTATCCAATATGAAATATATTTAAGATGTTATAAAAAATTATCATATATAAACATTTTTTCACATAAATAAAAATTTATCGATGCACTCTGAGTGCCCTAATAGTAGACCAAAGCCCGTCACTGATCCTCATGTACTCTATCTGGTCGATGAGCCAACTTTTCTACATCATTTTTGAAGGGTTTATATCCCATTGTTTTCATTCGACTTTTCCAATCTCTCCATTTCTTTCCAAATGAAGCCATTATTGTTCTCTTTATGGATTCATCTGCATCCGTATGAGCCTGCATTACAATTATAGACACTTATAATATGCAATGTCAACTACACTTGTAATATGCATTTCATATGGAATACAATTGTAACTTATTTTATATTAAATATCCATATATACTTTTATCTCCCTCCATATGTTATCTTTGTTTTGTTTTGGAACATAATGCCAAGTCGTAAAAGTGAGTGGTGCAAGACTCCCATCTCGTGCCAAAACGCCCAAATGTGAAGCAAGGGATGTGTGTCCTTCAACTACTTGATTAAACTCATTTGGAACAACTTTTAAAATGCCATCTTCATTAGTACCCCATTGACCATGCACATATGTGGGACCCCTTGTCTGCTTTTGTGTGGCTTGACTTGAGCTAGGACCTACAAAACAATAGTAGTAAGCTTCATATCAGTTTCTTTATGATGCAGTTAATTGGTCACTGAAGATGCAGTCAAGTGCAACATTGAGTTATAGCATACCTTTTATACTAAACGAAAATCAAATAATATGCATTTCAGTTGAATATCTGAATTATGCTTTTAATTTCAACAAATTTCAACATATCATACCATGGGGTGTTAAAATTCTGCTATCCTTGCTTCTATACCACACATTATGCTTTTAATTATCTAAACTCAATTTTTTTTTTAAAATAACCATGCATGATGTATGATAGATAGGACT